ATGCACGAACGACGGGTGGACGGCCGAAGGTAACGTAGGTTGGTTCTCGAAGATAGTCGTTCTCATATGTTTTGCTATGGGTGTCGGGTCAAAAGTTAAGTTTAAAGAATTACGTTACAACTGTTATGTAAAGAATTAATGTTATAGAATGCTGACTAATTTTTACTGTTACTCATTCGCACGCTATTTCTAGTCTGTGTATGAATGTCAATGATGATCTTACGGGCATGATCAAGTGGTGGATTTTTGAGTAACCACGCAGGACTACAATATATATGATTGAATAAATTTTTTAAAAAAGTAGCTCTGATCGTACCTGGCTAAATTAATTCGAGCACGTTGTCCACCGCTTAGAGAATTACCTCGATCTCCTACGAACGTTTTATCACCCTGAGGGAACTGTTCAAAGTCTTTGACAAGAGCACAGACTTCTGTTACTTTTTTATATTTGTCTTTGTCGTATGGTAAGCCAAAGAGGATGTTATTCCTCACCGTGCCTAAAAATAGCCATGCTTCCTGACTAGCATATGAAACAATACCCCCTGCAATAACCTTTCCTTGGGATGGTTGTAGTTCCCCAAGCATCAATTGAAGGAAAGAACTCTGCAACCGAATAAAACAAGTAATAGGACATATTTTTAATTGTTATATATGCAGATACTACTTGTACAATATTTTTTAATTATTTATTTTCAAGTCCTTCTTGCATATTTACCTTGCCAGATCCAACTGGTCCCACTATCGCACAAAGTTTTCCCGGTGGAATTTTTAAGTTTACTTTGTGAAGGGTATTCGAGATTGATTTTTCCGTCCAGGAAGCCGTGACATCTTTCACTGTCACTCCGACTTTTTCATTGGAAGGTTGTGATGTTAATGAAGGCACATTTTCATCCAACATTAAAAAATCCTTCAAACAAAGTATCAGATATTCTTATTAGTTTAATAGAAGAGTCTTATTTGTTTAGAACACTACTATAAATTCAGTCCACAACTGTTACTTTGGTATGTCATAAATATTACAAGGCACAATAATCAGTTAAACAGTATTACTAAGAGTAAAAGTCATGTTTACACAGTTGTAAATACAGAGTGAATAAATTTTAGTATTTGCCCAGTAGATATGTTAATAAGAAAGTTTGAAGTCTTTTGCCTATACCATCCCAATAAGAAGTTACTCAATTTAAGAAATCAGCATTATATACACTTACGGACTACGGATGACTACGGATGTTTTGAAAATAATTTATATTAATCTATTAAACAATAAAGCTTGTTATCATTAACAAGTTATGAATATGGCAGTAAAGAGATTATTCTCTATTTTTAGTCAGAATCGATTTCATTAAATGTCCAGTACAATCGATTGGCAGAAATAGTACTCTAGAAATTAACTGAGTGACGCACGAGTTACTGAAGTGTGGTTCATATAACTATAATCAATTGGTGTATAGACAAGTCAAACTTACTTGTAATCGCTTGATAGAAACTAAGGCTTCGGCACTTGATGATACTGCCAGAGGATAAAAAATAGCCATAGTTGCTTGAAGAATATTGAAGTATTGTGCAATTGAGAAGGCCTTATCAGCTGATATAACGTTACCCATTAGAGCGTATGTCATTAGGGTAAAAAAAAGTGTAGTTCGTTCCGTGAACACAAAAGTTGCGAGATTGAAACCTTTTAAGTAAGAATTCAAAGTGAGAACCTTGACTTCATATCTGGAAGAAATAAATAAGATACATAAAAATTATAAACATTTGGAGTGAACTCAAACAAAAAAATATTTGTTTTCCTCCGTTAAGAATTTCTATGCTGATTATAATCAGCTTGGCATATTTAAGCCTGATCGTTATCATCCTATTTTTTTAATCAATAAAATTCTACTCATATTAAATTTGCAATGTTATGTAATACCTTTAAGCTTTAACTGCATATAAAATTTAGAGTTTCCCAGTGGCCCAACAAAGGCCAAGTGCAGATTAATATCTTTAACATGACGTATAGTTTCAAATGCATTCTGTGGTTATCATAGTCATATCATGACACACGTAACTAATAATTAATGCAAACTTCTAGATCAATGAATGTATCAATACCTACATTCTAGCCATTGACACAAGCTTCTCAAACGGTTTCTCCCAGGTGTACATTTTAATAACCTGAATTCCACCAATAATTTCACTCATTAGCCGGACTCTTTCATCTGTTCTGAGAGCAATTTTTAATCGAAGCTTTGAGGTCCACTTGCTCATATAGCCTATAGAACAATTGTATTATTGTAAGGTGATAGTTGTGTTAATAGCATAGAAAACGATATGGGGAGAGAATAAGAATAAGTTCGACAGGAATAATGGTCGTAATTATTATTAAGCGACACAATGCTGACCTTGTACTGGAATTGTTTGACAAGTGATCAAAACTAATCCGGCTAGAGCAGCAATGCCCACACTTTGCCATATAAAAAAGCCAATTAACATTGCTTGAATTGGCATTATCCAAATATAATGAAGAAACATGAACAGATTATCGAACCTAGCTACGTCATTTGATAACAAATTTATTACTTGTCCTCCAGCTGTTCTACCGACAGCCGATGTTGATAGACGTAGAATCTAAATAGAAAATAGAAATGTAAATGAAATATTACGTGGATCTATGCAATGCTGATTATTTGTATTTAATATCAATCAAAATCAGATATCACTCACTTTTCTATAAATTAATGAAGAACACGCCACACGAACTCTCATACCGATTAATAATTGTCCCATATTACAATGGTGAGACACAAAGGTATATATTATTGCCAGTACTATGACAATAGTGGCATAAGTGTATGCTCTTTGGGGGGTAGAGTCTGACCCAGGCGTAAAATGTGATATTAAAAGACTCAAAGCATGAGGCTGTACTACTCTGCAATTAATATGATTGATTATTGTATTAAGTGAAGTTTGAAGATAATCATATAGGATGACAGTTATAAGAAACTTAAAGAGCAATTAGTACCTTATTACACAAGATAATAATAAAATCCATCCTCCATAGTACATGTATGACCAAATGAAAGTCTTGATAAGTGCATTGAGTAGTTTTGGATTCCGCTTTTTCTCTTCTGCATTTTTCAGCTCTTCATTCCAATTTCTGTAACAGGGTCAACCAAATGTCATTTCTGTTTGATAAAGTATCACGATATAAGATACAGTATTACATCAGTACTGACCGTTCTAATTTATTTCCAAGACGTTCGCTGTGGTCCCTTGGTAGTGCATTGTAAAGATTTTTCACCTCCAAATCATGATTCCTTCCATAAGAAAAGAGAGGCTTTAACCACCTTATATGAAAAAACAAATTTATGATTGAAGAGTTATTACTTGATACAATTAGTCCTTTATGTATTTAATTATTATTACAATATAGAGTTCCACTATGTCATTATACAATCTAGTATCACTTAAAAAACTGAATGACTTGCAATTAATAAGATTGCTTGACCAAAATAAATTTACTTCAAGCTCTGGTTCAAATAAAGTGATGACTCATAAAATGAAACAGAAATTATATAAATTATCTCAACTTGATCCTGTTTACAGATCTGTGTCATGTGGCTATTGATTAACTTAAACTAATGAATTGACAAAAGGGATATATATATATATATATATATATATATATATATATATATATATATATATATATATATATATATATATATATATATATATATATATATATATATATATATATATATATATATATATATATATATATATATATATATATATATATATATATATATATATATATATATATATATATAATTTATATCAAACTTATTAGTCTGGACCATTATGAGACAATTTCTTAGTAGAAATTATAAAAGAGCAAAGCCTTGTAAAAATATTTAAAGATTAAAACATATTTATTCTTAAACCTAATATAATACAGACAATTTATAGTCACAGATAATAAGTCTTTAAACAATAAAAAATGAGTTAGACAAATTCTACAGTGTGCCTTATAATTCTTCAGCAAATAACAAGGCTCCATTAACAGTCTCTGATATCTATTATGATAGTAAAATCTACAAGAGTGAATAAAATACTTTATTTGTTTCACTGTTTACAGAGCTTAAGGATGAACCTTACTCGATTTTTAAACAGCCAAATTTATCACACGGATAATAAAAATCGGTAGAAATCGTGAGTCGAAAAGATTTTGAATCCGAAAAATTTGCAATCGAATCCTTTCGATAGAATCTAACAAATCTAATAAGCATAAGATTCACCCGAACCAGATTTTATCGAAAAATTTCGATCAATGCAGTCATTAATTATGTTCATATATATTTTATCCATTATGTAAAGATTAATTAGGAAATTGGACGAAGGCCGACACGTTCTCGGAAGGCTTCGATTGAGATTGATTGGGATCAATTGCTCGACTGAAAAACTTTTCAATCACGAGATTGTTCCGTACAGCGATTCTTAGCGTTTTCCCTTGTTCATGTGATGCATGTTGTGTCAAAATCGATTATGGTTTCTCTTAAGAAAACTTCTAGAAGCATCAAGTGCTAAGATCTGTATTATGTCCTGATAATAAGATTTCCATAAATCACCATAAATATGGAACATTTGTTAAAACCTCGAATGTATATGAATATACACGAACAAAAATGGATATTGGTTATATACTGGTATATACAAAGAACAAAAGAAGGATAACAATGAGAGCAATGAATGATATACTCAGTTTGATAATACATATATGATTATTATTTAATAACATAGGCATATCATAAACAGCTTATAGTATGCAACATAAAAGCATTAGAGAGATATGCAAAAAAAAGACTTCCATAAAGTATCTAAATAATGGGAAACTATATCTTAAGATTACAAAATTCTTTTCCACAATGGTTTTATAAATTAACTTTGAAACAACGAGCTTCAAAAGTATAGTGACTGAACGTGACGTAATATAAGTTGAACAAAGGTTCTCACCAGAATATCAATCTGCTAAAAGGATTAGCATCGTTTATGGGATTCGGGTTATTGAACTTTTTGCTACTGTCCATCTTCAGCTACGGTGCGTCATACAGAAAAGAATATAATTTATTTTTTTTTAACAGAGGTGTAAAACTACAGTTACACTAGCATTTTATGCGAATTAACCTCAACTCCACCACCGCCAGCGTGAACCCTCATACACAACACTCGGCAACCTTAGCAAGACTGACCAAGCCTGACCATTATAGGCTGGTAGCACTGTGTAGAAAAATCGAAATTTGTAAAGTGGCGGGGGTAATGGCACGTGTCGTTGTAACAGAGATCTCATTGGTCAAAAGAAACGCTATCATATCGTTTCCGCCAATCAGCATTCAATAACTAAGATCCTAATCACTGATGATCATCTGGAGTCTGTTCTTTTATCTTTTACAATAAGTGGTGTAAGTGAAAATGATTTGTTATGAATATTGTAAATCTTATAAATCATTAGGTTTGTTCCTCGTTACCTAAACTTTCTTCACTTTTCAAAAATGCAAGTTCTCATTGGTTACTTTAAAATATCATTCAACAGGAATTTGCACTTTTCGAAAAGTGCAGAAAGTTAGGTAACGAGAAAAAAACTACGTCATCGTGACTTATTATTTATGTGGTCAACTTACTGTAAACTGAGGACATCTTCCCAGTACACCCAAAGTACCCGTTACATATCGGTAATGTGACAATTTATTACTCAGGGACATAATACTTATGTACACAAGTTGTTTTTTATCAGTACTATACTCTTGAGAATGAAATTCGAGCATTATCGATATATACAGACAAAATCGTGTCTCTTTCGTAATGTATCTGATAAGCATTAGCAAGGATAAAATCGTGATTGCACAATTTGAAGTAAGACTTTAAATTAAGCGTATAAAAAATTCACTCGGGTATGGTTGTGTCTCAATCGATTGTATGTAGTTTAATAGAGACTGGTAGAGACACATAGTTTAGTAGAGATTGATAGAATATATCCGAAAGTAGTTAATACGTAATAATGATAAATTTAATTGTAATTAAAGAAATTCAATATTCCTTCGCTTACAATATGTCATCAATAGAAAGGTTTTTAGTATTTATATCTTTTCGTTATTTTCAGTACTCGAAAATGTTGAAGCACTATATGCATTTATTAGGAATCATTGCTCATAATAAATTATAATTAATTAAACTTATTATCGACCACTCACCGGTTAGAATGATTTCAAATTCAATAGTCTCATTTTTATGAATTTTGACATATCGTTTTTAGAAAATAGGCATCTTATTGGTTGGTATAAAATTGTCCAATTCAATTTGTCTGTACAGATCGTGTCAAAAGGTGTTTGACATTTCCAGCTGTCACAGGAAAAAGCAAATGGCGTAACTGATTGTTTACATCAGCGTAGATAAAATAGTAAAAACATGCTTGTCATCCTTATATAATATTTCTGCAGGAGCATGTAATCAGATGGTGTATAATTGATCTTGTAATAGTAGAGTAATAATTTTATACTATTTAAAAAAAATAAGTATGGCTTTTTCATTTAGAGCTGGCACCAATTGGTGTCATGATTTTCCAAAACTTGCTAGAGAATCAGGATTTTATTTTAACATGCACAGAAGTCGAGTCCGCGTTGACTGGAATCGAATAAGTATTTATCACGAAATTTTATTTATAAAGATTTTTTATATCTAAAAGAATTCTAATCGCAGTGAATTTCTTTTAGGTTCTATTGATATTGATAGAGTCATCCGAGAGAGAGATTTTTCAACTGTCGATGAGAATGTTAATAATGTTGTTGATTACTGTTTAGAAAGTGAATATGACGTGAAGATTTTGGATCCAAATTTTGTGAAACTCTTTCGTATAGCGCAGCTGGCAGTAGAGTATTTATTGTACTGCAAACAGTATTTGGATCATAGCGTTGTTATCTTAAAGGACGAGCTAAGATCAAAACTGGAGGATAATGCAAAACTAAAGAAAGATAACCTCTCTTTGGAGGAAACTGTTAAAGATTTACGAGAGAAGCTAAGAATCATTGAGACTAAAATTGGTGATTCACATGGAGAACTTCACAAAGTATTTATTTTCTGTTCTTTCATTACTTTGTACTAAGTCAATTACTTTTTGTAATAATTAGCATGGTACTAGAGCCATTATCTTGAATTGTGTGGTGTAAGCTATTATTCAAAGTAGGGTTTATCCTAATGATATTCCAAGTTGCATAATAAGTGCTGTCTCATTTTGTTAACGTAGTTCCTGTAGTGTTGATATGTAAAATAGACATTTTTATTTTCTAATGATATTTGAAATTTCTGTCTAGTGTCCACACTGTACAAAAACATTTATTTCTGCGATTTTTGTGGCGGCACATATTGCACGTCGCCATCCGAACTTAGCAGAGCCGAATATCACCAGTTCACCAGTACATGAGCAATATCGAATGGAAACAGAGAAACTGCATAATGAAATAAAAACTCTTAAAGAGAGGCTTAACCAGACTGAAAGAGTTATCAGATATGAATCTGATAAGAGTTTAGAGGGTCTCAGAGCTGAACGCGAGGAAAGAATGAGAATCACAAAAAATGAATTGCAGACAGAAGACAGGGAACGTGATATAAGATTAGAGGAGCAACATAGAAGATATCAAGATGAGATAAGCAGTCTGAAAAGTATGCTCTTCAATGAGATCCAAAGTTTGAAGCAAAAGGATAGAAACTTTACTCCGATGAGAAACTATGAAGATGAATTCTCCAACAATCATATTAAGGAATTGGTTCGACAACAGGAGAAAGAAATTCAAAGGTTGCGTGACCAACTCCAAGAACGTTTAACTCCAGACGTGGAGAATGTACAAGATAAACTCCAGGCTCAGGAGCACTATTGGACATCTAAATTACAGCATTTGGAAACTCGTCATCGAGAAGATATTGCAAATCTATTATCCCAGTTAAAATTAACTCAGGATACAGCTCATCATATCAGGGAAGAATACGAGAAAAAAGTGGATGAATTGGAGAAACTTTCTAAGAGTCAGTCACAGATACTTTCAGTCCAGGGGGAACAGTTAAATAATATTTCTCGGGAGATTCAAGATGCTCATAGGACTCAACAAGGATTGGATAAAGCAGAAAAAGATCGGGATCAGAAATTCAATAAACAGAGGATAAGATACAGTAACAGTATCAGAGAGCGAAAAAAATCTCTGATAGATACTGATGTAGTTTTGGAGAACCTGGAGACTCCTTCTAGTCAAGATTCCCAAGGGAAGAAGGTTCCCCGGATCTCACGGAAACAGTTTTTACAGGATGACTCAAACCTTATAAAGAAATATGAGAATTCTGATATGGAGTCTGGAAATGATCGCAGTCAAAGGATATCGGACAGTGTGGGTAGATCTCGAAATATTGTCGAGGACCTAGACTTGAATTCTATAAGGTCAAGTCGGCATGAGACGGTCTCTCAGCACAGTCCTAATAGAATTAGTTATAGAGAAGATATTGTTGAAACGTTTAGAGCTAATGATGACAAGCATCAGATGCATAAACATAATAGAAATACTTCCTTGGCTCGGTTGAGCAACAACGGCAACAATTTGAAAGCAGAGCAGATAAGTATGAAGGAATATGAATCAAAAAAGGAAAAGCTGGACAGGGTACCTTTGGAGAAGTCCATGCAGGATGAGAAAAAATGGAAAAGCTCCACAAGTGAATCAAGTGAAAGTCGACCTGAGAGTGAAGAAGATTCAGAATCTGAAGCAACGGAATCGGAAACTAATTCGGAAAGTAACTCTCAGAGCGGAAGTTCTGAAGAGAGTTTTGTTGGAGAAACTCTTGGAAAAAATTGTACAAATGACGCACAAGAACGCGCTCTGTTATTACCAGAAGTGCGTGAAAACATATTAGGCTTATTCCAAAGTAAATTAAGGGATTTAGGAATTGATCCTGAATGGAATGGAATTCCTAGAGCTACGTACAAACAGAAAATGGACATCGTAAAACATCATCAAAGTATAAACGCCAAGGTAAATCAACAACGGTATAATAAATCTCATAAAAATAAATGAATAAAATTGGCTATAATTTTTCTTTACAGAAATTCACCAAATATGAACAAATTAAACATAAAATCGTTCAGGAACTTACGCAGAGACTTACAATCAAGAAAAAGAAATCAAAAAATATTGAAACATCAAAAAAATCACCGTTAAATAAATTAATGAACAACGTGAAGACAAAAGCGATGAATGCATTGAATTATCAAAGAGATGGCAGAAAAAACGAAGGTACTAAAATAATATGATATTAAATTAATGGTAGTATAAAATATATATATAAATCCTTTTACAGATACTCGAGTACCAGTTTTGAAGTCGCATATTAATTCTACACGGGAGACAATGTCAAGGCAAAAAGGCCGTCTAGACTTATTGCCAAGAAAAATGAAAGACACAGACATACGTAATATCGAACAACAAAGGGTTCGTGACTCATCTCAGTCGTCAAGAATTTTGGAAAATATCTCTTCCGCATCTGATCGTGGAACAGTATTAACATCCAGAACGAAAGTTATGCAAAGTTTTAGGGAAAGTCCTTCCAAAGATGGAAAACCAATATCGCGCTCTTACGAAAGTGTCAAAGAATTTTTGAAAGAATCTAAAAATTCGAAAACCCCTTTCGAATTAACAGGTATTAAAGTGACTTCAACGCCCAATAAACATTTAGTGAACATGATGCAAGAATCTTACGCAACGAATACAGATGAATCTGATAGTAAAATATTGGGAGATGAAAAGGCGAGAAGTTTACCAGTTTCGCCAAAAGGAAACAAGAGTGTTTTAAAATCAGCAACTGGTTCGGTAGGCAGCCTTGTTAAAAAAAAAGTTATTTTTGATTTGGAAAAAGAAATTCCAGAGAAGGATGAAGTGAGGAAGAAATCGTTGGGCAAATTATTTCCTGAATATGATGTAGAAAAAAGAGATATTGATGAGGATGAGGATTGGAATATTTCTAGGTATATATAACGATCAAAAAATTCAAAAGCAGTGTGTACAATTAATAAATTTTCAGCATCTCGGATGAAAAGGATCAGACACCTCTTGAATCTTCAGCAAAAATTTCGGAACAACGTATCCTTCTGAAATCGCATCAGAGTGAAAAAATTGCCCAGATATCAAAGAAAATTGAAGAGCAAGTAAGTGATTCTTTGTTTTTTAATTAAAATTATAATCAATTATCTTTCTAATAAGACCAATTATTTTCAGTTAAGTTTGTCAAGACGAAAACCAGTGGGAGCAATAGAAGCCATGCTTTCAACGAAAGCAAAATTAGAAGAATCAAAGGATAATAATCAATATTTAAGTTCTATGAATGTAGCTAGTTTAATTTTGGAAAGTCCTGCTGTTCGCTCACCAGGAAGATTTGGAAATAGAAATGAAAAATCAGCACCACAGCCAGCACCAAGAGCAGGAAAAAGTGCAGAATCACTTTCGTTGACATTGGAAAATAATAAATTATCCAAATCACAAGATTCCGATCTTGAATCTGATATAGAAGAATTATTACAAATGGACTAAGAAATGGGATGCTTAATGCACAGAGTACAAACTTTTTGAAAAATAATTGTAGTCATAAAATTACAAACTCTTGTGCCTTTGCATTGCAGCTGTTCTTGTCTTGGTATATAATGAGTAAAATAGAGAAAACTCCACACAAATATTTATACTTATATAAGTTTTATTTTTGTATTACAACATATGTAGTATGGTAATATCAACAGTATATACGTGCATTTCTGTTGTCAAATAAAAAAATTATTTAAAAGTGTACAACTTTTATTTTGCTACAGTGCTTGGCGCATGACACTACGTACAAGAAGAAAATGGAAGCTGTTGCAATATGGCGGAATGGGAGGAATTTATTCCGTTGGAGGAACTTTCAACCTGGTGTATCTGAGAAAGAAAGAGATTTTCCGATCCTTGAAGATTCGCCGTCTTAAAGGGAAGTGATATAACTGAGATAATGCACGATGGAGAAAAATATAAATGAGCTCAAGTAAACTGTGAAAGTATGAGGAGGCTAGTGTGTTTTGACAAGCCAGGGCTGTACAAAATTGAGATTATTAAGAAATATTAAGATCCAAGTCTCTCACGGTTGTATTTTTCATACAATAATTTACATGTTCCTTTAAACAAATTCGTAACAATTAATGGATTAAAAAAGGAAATTAAATGTTTTCAAAAAGTACTGTTGCACTGCCCCATGAGAAAGGTACAATAGGACATGTATCACTTTTATTGTTAAAGATTTATAAAAATCGTATTAAAGAAGAAAGTACAAAGGATGGATTTCTAAGCATTAGCCTAAGGTTATCAAAAAATATTTAAGTTGAATTAGTATCATGATACTATTACTATAGGTTAAGGTGAACATAATGACTACGCCCAAGCTGATTTGCCTTGTATGTGAGTTAAATCTGGAAGATACCAGCTGTACAAATGTCTTCTATACGTCTATGCCACGAAATGGAGAATTATTAGCAAGTTTTGTGCAGCGTGTTTTGCAGTCCACTGAGTCTGGTCTACGTAGCTCATATGTCTGTTCAAGATGCCATCATCTATTCCAGATGCTGGAACAAGCACAATGGACTGTCGCAAATATCCGCTGTGAAATACTCAAAGTGTATAATTCTGACAGTGAGAAGAAACTTCAAAGTAATTCTTCGTGTGAAGAAATCGTCACCCAAGATAAAATCTTTCTGGAGAGTTTGGTGGAAGATAAATTAGACATTAATGCAACATTACATAGTGAACCGAATGTATCAGATCTCAGCACATTTACTCAGGAACCCCAGCAAACTTCAGAACAACATGTAGCTATTGTAGATGATCAATTGATAAAAGAAAGCGAAGAGACTTTTGCAAGAGTCATCAATGAATCTTCATTGCAAAAACATTTACAAGACACATTAATTCTAACACATGAAATACAGAATAGTAATTCTGATAAACTAAAGAGACTGAATACTGATAATAATAAGAAGTCCATTGAGAAAGAGTTTCTGAATAACAATCATACAAATTCTTTTGATTCGAAAGAAGATGACTTTCACACGTTTAAGGAATCGTCGAATCTATTAATTGATAAAAAATCTATTTTAAGTCGTCATGAGAAAATGGCTCTTTATAACAAACAGTGTAGAACTTGTAGTAGATTATTTAAATCAGCCACCGATCTCAAGATTCATATAATAAAACACGGTGGTTCTCGTCCATATTATTGTGAAAAGTGTAGGGAGCGCTTTGAAAGCATCTCCTTGGCAAATATTCATGCCATGGACATCCATGTAAACGAGAAGGATATTATCGTGATCGCGACAGAACCATGCCAAGGAGAAACAATAGATTTTACTCAGGACGATTGTATCTTCCCTGAAGAAGTGTTACGCATGTCAGAAATGGAGGAACAAGATGACTTTGAGTGGAAGGAATCTAGCGAATCTTTAACAGAAGTCAAAGAAAATGCAGAGAGTCTAAAACGTATGTAATAACAAAACTTACAATATTTTCAAGAGATCTTAATTTATCTGTGCAACTTAAAACAAGCTTCTATTGAATATTGTCAGGTAATGATAGTACTCTCGACCAGGAGTCTGCTAAACAGAGGTCTGAATATCGCAAAGCATCTCGGAAGTCTGGCAGGATTTCTAAATACAGTTTAAAACCTTTAAATCATCTGTGTCCTACCTGTGGAAAAAAATGGAGAACCTCAGCTGAGTTAAAAACTCATATGAAATCCCACTCTAGCCTAAGGCCATACATGTGTGAAAAATGTGGTCAAGCGTATAAACACCGTCACGCACTTGAAATCCACGTGGGGATGCATAACGGTATCAATCCTTTTCAGTGTAGCTTCTGTAACAAGTGTTTCACTCAGAAGGGCGCCCTGATGAGACACTTACCAATTCATACTGGAGAAACACCATACCAGTGTGAATTATGTGGGAAAAGATTTGTGCATCACACGTCATACAACATGCATGCTTTATCACATACTGGACAAAAATCGTATAGATGTCACGTAAGGAAATCATAGTTTTATAAATAATTAAGTTATATTATCTATTGTTTGATATTTCTTTTACAGGTTTGTGATCTTTCCTTACTATCCACATCACATCTGAAACGTCATATGCGAGTTCACACCGGTGAAAAACCATACAGTTGTTCTTTATGCGGAAAACGTTTTGCGGAACGGTACAATCTATTCGCTCATCAGAAGATACACGACCCTGCAGAGATAACAGCCAAGGAGGCTAAAAAGATGCAGTATAAGTAAGAGGCGCCACGGCTTACTTTGAAGAAGAGTTTAGAAGCTGGATTAAGTCCTACGGATATTCCAGGTGTGAATTGTGTTCAGCACAATTTGACAAAAGGCAAAAGCTTCAAGATCATGCGAAGCTACATACGAAGAGTGACAGTGACGTCGAGCGGATTGATACCCACAAGATACTGGAGCTGACGAGATTTTATACGGGTCAGAATCAGGAATCCATGAAGGAAGGAGGAGACTGGTCTCAGGATTGTTACTCAAAGGCAGAAAGGATCCCTGTTCTTGCCAAGGTAAATCAAAATCACGTTCCTTTAACTCAAATCGGTACTAATTCATATAATCTAGCGGTTGACAATCATAGAACCTTGTTGGGTATTGAATATGATAGGAATTTGTTAGAAAATATCTCCACCGCGAATCAAGTTCCTACGGGGAGCACAGAAATTTGATACAAACTTTTTTGCCATAATATTATAGCAAAGAAAAAGGATTAAAAGTGAATACACGTTTAACTTATTGCCGAACTCTTTCGGTTCAGTTATTTTTGATGTGGTTATTCATACGAGACATGTCTTGAGCGTGGATATTTGGACATTCGAACGACTTTTGTCTCGAAAATTTGTGTGACTGGTTCATGTAAAAAAGGGAGAAGATAGAACGCGATAAGGGGATATAAGATGTTTTATTTCACGCATATTTTTGTAAAATTTTCTCTCAAATTTTGCGTGAAACTTAAAAGAAAATCTTACATCTCTTCGATCGTGTTCAATCCCCCGCCTTTTTTCTGAATCACACATTCAACCACGAAGCTCGTCAACGTGTTTAGAATGCTTGAGATACGTTTAATGTGAATAGCCAAGATATTATTTTAAATATAAATAAAATGTTCCTCAGGTTATAGTTATAAGTACGTTAAGTAATCACGATTTTTCACGAAAATTTGTTTAAATCTTTGAAAACTGATTAAAAATAAAGGTATGAATTTAATTCATTTTAGAAGACGTAAGACAATGTTAACTTATAGTTCATACTCTGCAGTAATGAAATAATTAATTACTGGTACGTATTTTCTATTTACGTATCTCTAAGAATTTGAGTATATTTTCTTAACAAACAAAATCGATTTGTATAATGGATTGTTTATAAGTTGTTTAATAATAAACAATTGAAATATGAAATACAAGAAATATATTTCAACTGTAGCCGGCTTTAAAAGATAATCCACTCAAAAATGGGATTCCATATTGAAAAAGAAATCTTTCTCCTGCAGAGTCATTTGGGCATCCATTACTTCATTCGAAGATGTCAGACCATAGGATGTGCTCAAAGTTTTCTGTTGCATCTTTCCCGTGGATAATTGCCTTGAACGCAAAATATAATCTCAACAATGGAATCAATAACTTCGTAGTACATTCAGACTCCCCCGGTTAACGCTATCCTGTTCAATTCTGCCTCATTATAACGCGCCTTTGTAAGTATTATATTACCTGTATCCCGGTTAAAACTCTTTTGTTTAACGCGCTATATTCTAAGAGAGTATCCTGACCGTTAACCGGGTCTTACTGTACTTAAGTACGTAATTAGTACATACTCTTGGAATTGATTTGTTATCAAAGTTATTTTGTTGTTGATTAACTCCTGTGGTAACTTGTCACTTGTGAAGTCATATCTTGGCTTTCGGAGAGGATGATTTATATAGACTTCATAAATAAAATCCATCAGGGAGTTGAAGGCGTTTTTAAAATCATCCACAAATAACTAATCAAATAATTAACGTTACTTCAAATACCCATACGATAGTGAATACAAAGGACAATAGCAACTACGTACAACTAGAGAATAAAATCCAGGATTATTTAAGTGGTGATCAATGTACATTCTTCTTGAGGCTATAACAACTTTCACAAATTCATCTTTTAAATTGTCTGGGTGATCCACTTTCTTCCTAGGCTGAATATATAGATTAATCAGACATAAATTTTACGTTTGAGTTATATTTAAAGAATAATTTTTTTTCTTTGAATATTTACTGCATGTGGAATGGATTCTTCACTCGAATCCTCATCAAGCTCTTCAATTGGTACAAATTCAGCATCTTCGAATTTCATTTGACTCCGTCTTAACAATACTTTTTCACGTTGCTTTTTGCGTTTTGAATCTTCATCTTCTATTATTATATTGGATTTCTCATCCAGAAGAACCTTCAATTCTGAATACTTTTGAAATTGTTCCTCCGATGTTTGGACTGGGCCAACAGTATGTGTTATATCGTCTTGTTGTTCACCCCTAAACGTAATATGTTTCTTCTCTTCCAATTCTAATTGACTTCTAGTTACTGTTACTTTTGGTAATAATGTTTGACTCTCCAGTATAATATCTGTTGCGGTAGCTCCAGTGCCTTGTGGTCTTACCCATATACCATATGTTGGTAGATCAAGGTCTTCAATAACCTTTACAATGAAAGGAAAAGTATGTTAAATTAGTCGACATTAGTTAAAGCAGTAGAAGATTTTCATAAAAATTATTTTCTCACATCATTTACTATCTCAGTAATGAAGTCCATTTTACTCAGACTAGATTCCACACTATCAATACCAACTCTACCGCCTATTTTAACAGCAAGAAGATTCTCCACGCTATCCTTCATCCACGTGAATATTTCAAATTTGTCTTTTATCCATTGACGATGTAAATCCTCATCTTTTGTAAGAACCATTACCATTTTCGTATTTGCATAGCGACTCTCCATTTGTATTGTGGCAAAGAGATCCATTTGCGTTATACCAATTTTCTTCTCAGAAGCGACCAAGGCTATTTCATTAATATCTGCAGAATTGTTAGAATTCTATACTTTAACTCTCTTCGAATTGTAAAACATTATTATATTTTATACTTACGAAATCCATAACTATGTCCCAATAATTCTTGAATTGCAAGGAATTCTCCTCTGCGTACCATTTCATTAAAATCTTCACGTTTTACAAAGTGAAAACATTCCATATCTTCTTCACAGTCTGGACCATCGCGGGTCGTGTGATTTCTACAGAATCTGACCTGTCATTAACTTCTCGTATATTTATGATCAACAATGCTTTTATAAATCATCTAGTTATTACCCTCTTGGGAAGAGCGTTCGCTATTGTCTTAGCCAGTAATGTTTTCTTCACTGTCGATGGTCCACTCAGAATTATTATAGGTGGACTAACCTCATCGTAAGGACTAACATGCATATCAATTTTTGGTATATTCAGTTGTTCAAGTAAGACTAATTTTGTTACGTTGCGAGCAGATATCAGCTCAACTGATGGTGCAAACATCTCTGCAGCAGAAACCTGAAGAGTATGGAGAACTCAAGAAAACAATCTTTGATAACATTTATTGATTGATTACTGATACCTTTTCAGTAATGGAAACACCAGCACCATCCACATACATAACACTGGGCATTGTGAATAAAAGTACGTCTCTATAATTTGGCCACTTTGTACATGGATTACCTCTGAGATCAACCTCATAAACAAAACTTTTCAAATGAGAAACTTCCATAAGGTCAGCTATCTTGTTATACTTCAAATCTATAAGACGTAGACCATATGCGCCCTGGAAATATATTGTTTTAATTTTTCTTATTCTTATTTTTGATCTAATACTAAATATCAAAGAGAATAACTTTAAAGAATTCTAATGTCATAATCTTATTGTGCCCCATTATCAAGGTACGAAGATTTGGTAATGTCTTTATTCCATCCTCTGGATCCCGTGACACAAAACTGCTTATACAATTGTATTCCAGATTCAATTCCTGTATATTCATCTTATCTAAATTTTCTACTACCTCAATAAGATTGTAAGACAAATTCAGATAGTGAAGATGCCTGTAATCGAAGTAACGCTTGACATTGTCTTATGCAAGAAAAAATAGTATGTGCTCACTTTAGATTTTGTAATCCTGTTATATTCTCAATGGCATTATGAGAGAGATCGAGCCTGACTATACTCCAAAATTCGCTGAGGTCATCTATTACTGTTATGTCATTATGAGATAGGTTGACATAGGTCAGGTACCACGGTGGCGAAAATCGCAAAACATTTTGAAGTCTATTATGTGATACATTAAGATACATAAGATAAGGAATATCACTGAGTGCTGTTATGTCTGTAAGATTGTTGTAAGATAAATCCAAGTATTGGATATAACGATGATAACGGAGAATAGAAATATCCCTTAGATTCTGCTGAAAGAAAAACTTGACGATGATAAATAAATAATTGTCATTAAAGAATCTTTACCATTGTTTTTAACTGGCATTTACTCAAAACGTACAATCCATTTTCAGGAGATTTGCTTAAAAATGTTGAACATGCACCAACTACTCTATCGGAGAGGATTCCTGTGTATTCTGAGAAACTCAATTCAAAATCTTGAATGGTTTTGACTTTTATTACAGGAGCATTATCATCATCCCAAAGTCTCATATGTAAAGCGAAACCACCCCATTTACTGTCTATTATCGTTTGTCGTTTATCATATTCAATTTTGCAGGAACTCCAACTGTAGTTCTCTAATGAGGATGTGGACTAGGAGAAATACGAAATCAGGATATAAACTGTGTATTATGGTTGCAAGTTCTGTAACTAGAGTACTTCATTAAAACTTGATGTGAAAGAGATGCTGGAATTTTCTGATGAACTTGATAGCAAATCATATATTCCAAAATCTATTGCATCAATCGAGTAGTTTTCTGTTCCATATTCTCGCTTCTCTGTACTAATGATCTCATTATTTATTGGTATCGTGCTTTCTCTGCTGGATCCAAACAACAGGAGGTCCTGTCATTCCGAAAATAATTAGAATCGAACTTTGTGCTTTACTTAAAACCACCCTTTTACCTGATCTTTATATTTCAGAGTACTACTCCTAGAATTATTTATTGAAACAGAATTCTTTTCCATTTCTTAAATTGCACAATCAAACACAAAACCAATTCGTTGCACTATTTACTTCAAAATTAAGTAAACAAATGAGCGTTAGATGAAAGTATAATAATAGAACGCTAAAGGAAAACAAGATTCAAATATCAATTCTTCAATTTCAATATGCATCTCTTTTATTTGTACGCGATTAGTACAATTTACAAGCACATCCGTATATTAATTTTTGTTAATGAAGTCTCTATAGTTATTTCACAGCAGCCAGTTTCTTAAGGGCTACGTTTTCTAAAGAGAAATGATGCCATCCGTCTTTTTCGGTCAAGTCAACAGCTCCCATACTTTTGTAGAATTCTCGTGCGGGATTCCAATTCAGGACGGCGAAATCCAGCCTGCAGCAATTGCTATCCGCAGCTTTCTACACAAAAAAAAATACAACGTGGAATTAATAATAAAAATTTTTTTTTAAATATATATGTATACCAAAATTTACCTTGACAACTGTTTTAAAGAGGCTACTACCTACGTGCTTCTTGCGAAATTCAGGTAAGACATACAAGTCTTCCAGATACATTGCTTTACCGTTCCAGGTTGAGTACGTATAATAATACACAGTATATCCAATTATTCTCTCAGATGCTGTGGCCACATAGCAATAGAATAATGGCCGATCAGAATTGAATCCATCTTCCTCAAGAGCTGTAACGTGAACGTGAAATATTTGATAATAATGAAGTAGCAGTTATTACAATTTGTAGTGTATGTTTCACTTCCTTTAGTGGTTTAAAATGTAATATAACTAAGGCGTGCCTTAATATAAAGCTGGTATATGACGAACGAATTTAAAATAGGTAAATTAAAAAAGGGATTCATAAATTACGACTGACAGCAACTTACTTTCATACTTTAATTTAGCGCCGTTCGACTTGCCCGAACTTTCTGCCAATTTCTGCAAAGACATTACGAAATTTTGGCAATGTGACAGTGCCTGATGTTCAAATCAGAATTTTCATATAAATATTAAAAAAAAAAGATTTGAAAATAAAAAGCACCTCACCTTTAGCATCAATTTTTGGGCCATCCGGCATTTTTTCAAAATCTGCTAATTCCTGAAATAACGTAACGCAAACGAAAATAAACGGATAAACGAAAATATCTAAAGCTCTATCGCGGGGGTTAGAAAGAAACTGTACATTGTGTTTTACGATACATATACCCAGTGTCTTCTTATTATACTAATTTTACCTGTATTAAATCACGGATCGCCTTGCAATCTTCTCGTTTAGCTTCGCGAATTTGTATACCTTCCATTCTTTTAATTTTTCTAGAGCTTTGGCTCAAGCACTTTCGTTGCTTACGTAATATAATGATTAAAATAATAATGACTTTATCAAATGGTTCGCTCGGTAAATATTTAGGAGCGACTATCACGCTTCTATATAAGGAAAATGATTTTATCTGAAGTCGGACTCTAAAATGATTGTTGGCGACTGGTTACTCTTATACTTGTTGATCAAATATAATATGTAGTTTGACTTTGAAAATACGGAGAAGGAAGAGTAAAAGAACAAAAGTAACAGTGAAGAAGATTTTATGTTGCAAAAGAAGGAGCTTAGGTACGTACGTACAGAAACGTAGAGAATAGTAACACTTAATCTAAATTTAGACGGCAATGGATAAATAGTCATGTTTCTCTATGATAACGTCATTTTGTGGGCTATGTCGATTTACAGATAAATTGAACTTTTATCAGTGGATGGAAGAATAACTATAATATATATTAGTTTTATTACTGTTAAACAATTGATTGTTATACAGTACGATTAATTATATATTAATATTTATACCTATATTAAAAAAACGTCAACAATGTATCGACTGCCGAGATTCGACAGCTTCAAACTGAATTTTGAATTAGTTTCGATTTCTACCGTTAGTGGGTGTTGACGTCGCTTCCTGTTCGATCTCCCATCGCTTCCTACTAAACAGTCATAAATTGCGCGGCGTGGAGTGTGACGGTGGTTTTGTATCGTGCGCTTAATACAAGTAAAAAAAGTTATATTTCGCGTAAGATATTGTCGTCGTAACAATATAAATAGTCGCGAACATGACCGACATTGACGCGAAAGTGAACATGTCTCTCGGTAAGTGGGAAAAGTCCGGAAAACGTAGAAATTATGCGGATAGTCCTACGTGAGCGTACGGCTGCGTTTGTTCCTTTTGCTCGACACAAAATGGCTCCCATTTACAGCACGGCCATGTTAATGTATATTTGAGCATCTGTAGAGAGCTCGGGAACAGAAAAGTAATAGCCCTCCGACAGCGAGTCGAGTTAAAAAAATAATGCGTTTGTGTAATAAAGTATCTATCGCAGATCGAATACTCTTCTCAGAGTAACTTAGCTCGAAATATTTATTGCTCAAGGAAGACCACCTCTGTGCAAAGCGTGCCATACTCGCACCATGACTCACTCTCCTCTATAAAGGAAATGAAATGGCCAACTTTCCATTGCGTGGGACGCTGAAATTTGAGAAGCCTGGTTTATTACTGATAGAACATGGTACATGTTCGCTATTGCTGTTAATGGGGTTTTCCATGAGGCACTGGTTCTTCTGTAATAACGAGGATAAGTGATCCTTATACAACAATTTCCTGGGATCCTGGAGTTCAGCAATCCTCTTTATTGTACGTGGAGTCTATATGCTGCGGAAGATTTCAATCGACCATCCTTTACTTCAACTGCTATGTTTCGTCATTGGGCATGACAAAGAAGCAAGCTAATGCTGGTTTTTTTTCATGATGGCCTACATAGAAGATCTACCTACTGCAAAGGCTGGGAATATTGGGTTCTTGTTGACTACTTGCAAGCCTAATGCATCCTATTATAAACCATGCTGCATATTTACCAATATTATACATTGAGTAAATATAACAGATCTGAGAGTGATGAATGATGCAATAATGTCTATAGTGAAATTGGCTGAATGCCAAGCACTTTGGAGATTTGAAGAAACTAGTTATGGTGAAGCATACTAAATGGCATATTTCATTAAATCAGGGTATTGGGGG